TTTAATAGTAAGAAATAAAGTATTCATATTTGCTGAATGATTTAGTGAATACTTAATATTGTAAGAGTACAAGTCAACTTTTGTACTCATCAAATTTTTAAACTGTCAATATTTCATCTGCAGCACATTATTTTCTCTTTCAGTACAGAGAACAATAGTAATGTAATATGATACTTCATCTGATGGATGAAAACCTTGGCTTTCTATTGGTTATAATTAGTATAGTACTGAATGTCAAAGAAAACTATTGACAAATCCTGAAAGACAGGATGTGACAGGGGTGTGTAGTAAGAGCGAACTGATTTTCTATTTGATGGGTATGTAACCAAACAAAATTGAAGGCTGGAAAAATTATACTTTACCTGAGTGATGACAACATTATAATGAGTAATTTACATTAAATTTCGTACTTCTTGGAGGTATGGTAAATAAATAAGAGAAAAAGAGATGCCTAGAGAAAAAAAAAGTCACATTATCTCACATTAGGGGAAAATTCAGGATTTTTTAAATGTTGCTTTATAAAATTAAGAACTTAAAACTTATATACTATTAAAATATGGATTATAAGCTATGATTTTATGTTATACCAATTGATATAACATGAACAAAAAAGTAGTTAAATTAAATATTGAATGTAACTTATGAAAAACATTGTGACATGTGCAATAAAGAGGGTTAAATCAGGTCAATACTCTCCAATCACCTTAAAAATGATTGCACTAAATGGTTATTAACCCAGTCAAATCACTTGAGATGGCTAATAAACTGCCTTCAGTATGAACACTTCATACTTCCTACTGATAGATCTGGTCACATCCAGGTACTTCTAACCTGCTGACACAAATGAAAGTAAGCTTCGTTATTATTTCTGTTAATATGAACTATATTATATGTAACTGACACAATATAATAAAGGTAAACTAAATTTATTATGCATGTTAAACAATGTTTTTTATTATTTTCATTTAGTATTATATGTTTTTATTATTTTTGTTATAAGCTCTATTCTATAGTATATAACAAATATTTATTTATTATAGTATATTTTTTATTATTAAACTATATTCTATACTTAAACTGAATTTCTCATTTTTTCACTATATTCATCATTTTATTATTTTATTATAAATTATATCCTATATTATATAACTGAGATATGCTTTTGTATTTCTAACAAAATCATGAAGCAAAGCTACAGAAGTCTACATCTGGCTCTGGTACTTCGATCCAGGTGCTGCAGCCTACAATAGGTGCATACTGTGCAGGATCAACTATATACACACCCTCATCAGAAACACATCAATAACAAACTCATCAATTTTATTGCCGGTACATAGCAACCATTCTCAGTGGTGGAGTCAAAATATTTTCAAGATCTAATGGCAGCCATGGATTCTCGGTATATTCTTCTCTGTTGCAAGCATCTGTCCACAATGTTGATCGAGAGCAGGTTTGATGAAGTACAACAAAAAGACATTTCTCTACTGTAACTTGTACCTAACATCAATGTGGATATCTGGAGTAGCAGACAGATGCCCAGCTTTCTTAGAGTCACTGGTCATTTTATACTTGACTGGAAAATGTAAACAGTCATGCTGGCACGTCAGTATTTCAAGGGATGTCACACATCTGATAACATTTCAGCTCAATATAATGAAATAATAAATCGTTAACATCGACAACAAGGTGTCATATGTGACATCTGATAACACATTCAACATGATCAAGACTTTCTTGCTTGCCTGGATTTGAACCACAAACACTACTTAGTGTGAGAGATGGTGATAACTCATCTACAGATAGTGACTCAGAAGATGAACTTTTGGATGAATCTAAATCAGCAGACAATTTATCTGAATTTCTTCCTGAACATGACCCTTGCTTTTCCACACACACTACAGCTTGTGGTCAGGGATGGCATGAAAAATGCTGTACCTCTGCTGAAAGTAATTTCTAAAGCATCAGCCATCATGTCCTACATTCAAAAATCAATGAAAGCAACTGATCTACTTGAGGGAAAGGCCAGAGTTCAGTTGGTAACACCAAACACGATGGAACTCGGAAATTAAGATGATTAAGTCTTTACTGAAGATTCTCCAGGAAAAGTTGGATAATCTAGATACTGGTATATCAAAAACTTACTTTTCATGATTGAACTGTGCTTGCAGATTTGCTGAAAATACTGACACATTTTGAAGAGGCACCAAATTTAACCAAGGGTCAGAATATTGTTACCTCCAGTTATGTAGTGCCATGTGTTTATGGTCTGATGACTGAGATTGACAGCATGCAGTCTAGATATAATTTCAATCTTGTTTCTGCATTGAAGAAACTGTTGACACCAGCTGACTCAGTATGAGCAGCGAAATGTCTCCTGTTTGGATGTGACATTGGATCCCAGATTTAAACTTGACTGGTGTTTCATTATACCTATGGTCTATGAATCCAATCAAATGCTCCTGCAACAAGAAGTCAAGAAAGTTTCCTCAACTAATAATCCTACAACCATGGAACCAAAGAGGACTAAATTCTTCACCCTCGCAAAAGAAGTAAGCTCTTTAGTTTCTTTACTGCCTCCAAGAAACCAGCCACTTCATCTTCAGAGGATAAAGAGATAAACACCTACCTTAATGGTCCTTGCATTCCTGAAGAAAGCAACCCTCTAGATTATTGGAATATCCATGAAAAAACTTTTCTACCCTATCTCTACCAGCCAAACTCTACCCGAGTGTTCCAGCATCCTCTGCTCCTATTGAGCATTTCTTTAACTTTGGAGGCAGAACCTTCAGGCCTGATTGCTGCCACCTCACTTACAAGAACAGTGGGCAGTTATAATATCTATAAGTCTCCTTAAAAACATGTTTTTTCTTCTAAAACTTTGTTATTGTATTTTGAAAAATAATAATACTGAAATGTTATTTGTTCAAATTTTGTTTGTTTCATAAAATAAAAGTACTGAAATCTTATCATCTGCTGTTTTATCATTATTGCATATTACCTGATAAAGTATTCATGAATACTTCCTATGTATTTGTATTCAATTACTTAGCATTTTTCCTGTATTAATTTTCATATTCACAGCAACATGAAGTATTTATATTCAATTACTGATCTTCAATATTTTCCCCATCCCTGTCCACGATCTATAAGGATCATTCTAAGATAGCTTGATGAACAACTATCCACATTCACCACCCATAATGATCACTCTACTACAGATTTATGAGCAAATATCCCTGTTCACCACCCATAATGATCACTCTACTACAGATTTATGAACAAATATCCCTGTTCACCACCCATAATGATCATTCTACTACAGCATGATGAACAAATATCCCTGTTCACCACCCATAATGATCATTCTACTACAGCTTGATGAACAAATATCCTTGTTCACCACCCATAATGATCATTCTACCACAGCTTGATGAACAAATATCCTTGTTCACCACCCATAATGATCACTCTACTACAGATTTATGAACAAATATCCCTGTTCACCACCCATAATGATCACTCTACTACAGCATTTG